AACTTACCAATGCTATGAGACTGGGACACGTAGGCCTCGGAGAGAGGAGGGCGCGCCCACTTGGAAAGACGAGAAGCGAGAGCTTCACGTTCCTCTAAGTCGCGCAGAATTAGGGATTCCACGTCTTCTTCCCCCATAAGGGTTTCGTCAAGGAAGACATCTTCATCAATGAAATCCTCTTCCGCCGACGGTGGCGGAGGCGTTGGAGCAGTCGCTTGGTACTTCGTCGCCGGAGATGGCTGGTGCGAAGACGGCGGTGGTGGCCTCTTCCTTGGGTTGCCTCCCTTGTTCATGATTTTGGTGTCGTTTTGGAGTGAATAGAGCAACGGGAAATGGAGGGATTTAGGGGGTGGGGGGTTTGCGAGTTGAGAAGAGTGACATTCCCGCCAGTTTTGGGGATTTTAGGAGGCAATGTGATGCCACGTGTTATGCACGTGATTAGCACTGTTTGAAAATTATTTTCTTTCCTTTGGGCTCCGCATTAGGCTACAGCCTGTAAGTCGATCCTCAACTTGTGTACGCCTTTAGTATTCATGTATTTCCTTGGCATTATACGTTACATTGTTGAAAATATTATATTATTTATTTAATAAAAATATAAAATTATAATATTTAATTATAAAAATATTATTGATGAATGTGATGAAAATTCAAATTATATTATCAAGCCTTAATAATAAATATATAAATACAAAAATGATAAACTTTGATGTACGTATTAAATTTTATTGTTAAGCTTAAGTAATTTATTGTTTTTTTTATTATTATATGCTGTACTAAATTTTATCAAGATTATGGTAAGGAATGAAATATTTTTTAAAGTGCCATTTTGAAAGAAAATTATGCAATTTGAACCTAATGAAAAATTAAGTTTACATTTTATTGGATCATACGAGATTTTGAAAAGAATTAGACGGGTAACTTACTTATTGGTACTATCGCCTAAAATGTAGCAAACTTATAATGTGTTTCACGTATCAATGCTAAGGATATATCGTTCAAATACTTCGTATTTTATTTCGGTTGGATAAATCGAGATAGATTCTCATATGTCACATGAAAAAAATCTTTGATGATCTTAACTCGTATGAAAGGACTCATGAACAAAAGACTTGTACTAGTAACAAAATTTATGGAGAGATCATGGAGCGAATTAGGCTACTTGGGAGCTAGGAGAATTTATACGACTTTAGTGTACACATCTCTTAGAGTTAAGTAGATTTCGAGGATAAATTTTTTCAAGGGAGAGAGTTATAATAGTCGAGATTTCAAATCAATAATTAAGAGTTGATTTAGGATATATGTAAGTCGATATGAGAGCATAATTAATCTCGTTGGACAAACTATACTTAATTTTAAAAAAATGAACTTATTTATACTTTAAAGAAATGAAATTTTGAAAGGATAACGGTGATGACAGAATTAATAGAATACATATCTTATTACAAAATTATAGCTAATTTTTTCCTATTTTCTTTTATCATTATTTCTTTTTCTTATTTTTTTTCCTATTTTTTTTATCATTAACAACTCTTTAATTAAATTCATCAAATTTTCAGCTCTAGTGCCGACCATAATTAAAAGAGAAAATAATTTCAGTGTCCGAAAATGCTTTATAATATACGATTTTAACCAATTTTTTTTGGATTTGCAAAAATAACCAACAAAATCGCAACGCGAACTCCTATTTCGCAACACAGTTTCCAAATTCGCAACGCGAACATGAAATTTTTCGCGACGCGAATTTCGAAACATTAATTACCGATATAGGTAAACACAACTATCGTATTAGCGATATAGGTAAACACAACTATCGCAACACTAATTACCGATATAGGTAAACACAACTATCGCAATGCGAATTTCATTTTCGAAACGCGAATTTCGCAAATTTGAAAACTGAGTTGCGAATTTGACAAATTCATGTTGCGAAATGTAAAATCTCGCCTCTTAAAGAAAAAACCATTTCGACATTTTATTTGTTTGGTTAAAGTTAAACGAAAGAACGAACGAACATGAACATATCCTCGTTCATGTTTGTTCAATTCATTTACAGGCGTAGGTTTAGCTGAGTGATTCATACGTGGACTTGACAATTGGGATGTCACAGGTTGAAAACCACTTCAGTGCATTTTATGTCCTTTGATTTTTTTTTAAAAGGCGAGATTTTACATTTCGCAACACGAATTTGCCAAATTCGTAACTCAGTTTTCAAATTGTCGAATTCGGTTTTTTTACCAGATTGTTTCTACCGTGTTTACCTATGTCGGTAATTTAGTTGCGAATTTGGCGAATTCAAATTGCGAAATTCGCGTTGCAATAATTGTGTTTACCTATATCGGTAATTAGCGTTGCGAAATTCGCATTGCGAAAATTTCTATGCTCGCGAATTTGGAAACTGTGTTGCGAAATAGGAGTTCGCGTTGCGATTTTGTTGGTTATTTTTGCAAATCCAAAAAAAATTGGTTAAAATCGTACATTATAAAATAGTTTCGGTCACTGAAGTTATTTTCTCTAATTAAAATGGGGAGTCATTTCTCCACCTTAGACATGTGTGAACATGTGGGTCTTAATCCCAACAATAAAAACTTTTATTTCCATTAAAAAACCAATTTTATTTCTATTAAATAATATACTGTTATCATAAATGTGTTATATTTTATTTTAATTATATAATGGAATAAATGAGTTACGTCGGCCGTTAACTATTAAATTTTTTATTTATGCAAAAAATTATAGTAATAGTTAAACATGGTAAGAAGATAAAGGAAAACATGAAAAATGGTCCAAAATGAAAATTCAAAAGAAGAAGCTCTCTCCCTTCCCTGTCCTAGGAGTATATAAACCGACCATTGTGCATGTTTGTGATAGATTTATAGCCATTGTGCATGTTTGTGATAGATTTATAGCCATTGTGCATGTTTGTGATAGATTTATAGTCAATATTACTATCTATATAGATTATCATAGTAAATCTCTCGAGTTTATTAAGGGTCTTATCGAGAGGTTTTAGTCCATTAGAGAACTTTAGTTGTGGAGAAGTCGGTTTCAGTAAGAAATTATATCTCAAGAGGTGGAGTATACTAGAAAGGGTATCGATTTTCCGAAGATTTTTTGGCTTCATTTGGGATAAAGTTGTTTTTTCTATTGGAAGGCCTATTCTGTATAGGAGATTGACTCACCCGGATTCATCAGCATCGTCATCTAAGGTGGAAATTATGGTGGTCGACGACGGTAAGGCCTTGCCGGAGAAGGATCATCCTCCGATGATATGTAATGGGTACGAAGCGGATTCCGATTTGGTTAGTTTGGATCAGTTTATTAGGTGACTGTCAGATTGGAAAAACCAGCTTTCTGGTAAGAACATGGTTTTGATTCTTTCTTCTTCTGTTTCTTCTTTTCAGTTCTTTGATGAAATATCACTTATAATAAGTGGTTTTTAATGGTTTACTGTTTCACGTTTGAAGATCAAATATGTTGGGGATGAACCAGAGAAAAGCTTACAAATGACTGGATTAAATTTGGTTAACAAAACATTATTTGTTCAAGGTGCCAAGATTGCTTTCAGCATATGGGATGTAAGAGGTGAAAACTTTAATCAATAAATTTGTTTTTTGAACTTCCAGATTTGTTCTTCTGCTGTTAAACTGAGTTTTCTTGTTCCGTTCTCATCTTCCTCTGATTATTTGGTTGCAGGTGATAGTAACTCACTAGATCATCTTCCAATTGCTTGTAAAAATGCCGTGGCAATCTTGTTTATGTTTGATCTAACTAGCCGATGCACCCTTAACAGGCTAGCTTTAAAGCCAGTTGGAAGAAAAGTACCGAATTTGATAGTTATATAATATTTACAATATTTTTTCTTGGATTTTGCAGTGTTGTTGGATGGTATTGTCAAGCAAAGAAGTGGAATCAGGTACTTAAACCAGTGTTTTCTTATAGATTTTCTTTTTATTTTTTCCCTTTCGGAGTAGTTAGAAATTAGAATTATGTGTTTGGCCGAATTTTTCCCACACCCGAGAAAGGAATGATTACAGTATAGTATTTGTTACAAGTTTTTCTTAGCCTATTAACAACGCACACATACTGACACAACTGCTTGAATATGGATCCTCTAAAAAGAATAATATTCACTTTTGTCACTAAAACCACTCGATAGATTCAAAAAGTGGTATTGATTTTTGAAATTGGAGATGTTACTGATTAATGATTAGTGAGCAAAATTTTTCCCAAATGTTCTCAGTTAATGCTTCTCAATGTCTTGCAGACAGCAATTCCAATATTAATAGGAACAAAATTTGTCTTAGAAGTGATTGGTCTGATAAGAGGAATGTCCTGGGAGTCTTCCTTTGTCAAATCTCAGCCGTTTGGCATATGTGACAAAACCTTTCCTTTTCCAGTCTCAAACAGTGTTTAAAGATTGAAACACAAGGGACCAACTTGATTGAAGTATAGCAAATTGGAAAGTTAATTACTCAATAGTTGATGTTTTTAAGCTTTTTTAGATTTAACAGTGATCAAACTTGAGTCTGAATCTTCTTCTTTTTCATCAAACAGGCAAGAGCATATGCCAGGGCAATGAGTGCAACCCTTTTCTTCTCAAATGCTACACATAATATCAATGTCAATAAGATCTTCAAGTTCATCATGGCTAAGCTCTTTAACTTGCCATGGATAATTGAGAGAAACTTGACCATTGGGAATTTTCATTTATTATAAAGTATTTATATGGATATGAAATATTGTATTTAAAAGACATGGGTATTTTTAAAATCACTCACTCAGACCTACGAAACGAAAGGATCCATAATCATGGTACAATTAAAGATGATCACGGTGTGCAAAAAGTAAAAGCACCCCAGTAATTATAAAACAATATAGAAGTTGGGAAAAGTAGCCGTCTAAAGATTAATCTACAATTTCTTCTGCAATTGGGTGGTTTCATCAGACTATTTAGTTACTCGCAATAAAAGGTATCATTCTTGTGCCACATTATGAATACCATTAAAAAAGCACAAACAACAATGGCTACTTTGAAGAGAACATTGGCATACACGAGTTCGAACTAGATCCAACTCAACCATCTAAGTTCTACAAGAAACCTCTTCATTCTCGAATGCAGAAAACCAAATACATCGATATCGTTCTTTGTATTCTGTGAGAGCATGCTGATGAGACAGTTTTGGTGGTCGTCTAACTGTACGTCTCACTGGTTGGAGTTCTCATGCAGTAGAACATACTCTCGGCTGCAAAAGCCCGAACCAAATGATTTAAAAGGCTACCAATAGCAAAGCACAACAACAAAGATATTTAAGCATACGCCAGACAAGATGACAATCGAATTATTTCATCATAAAACCAAACCGATTATAACTAGTTTCTATGACCGGATGCAATTGGAGACACTTTCGGCATTGAATTCATTAACAATAGAGCAGTGGCTACAGCAACATCAATGAATCAATTACTTCCTCTCATTTACACAAGCATAACGATTACAAAAACAATAATAGCACCACCAAAATGCAGTGTGAGAATCGGAGACTGACCAAAACAGGAAAGCCTTTTATCAAGCACTATCATGGTAGCTTAGTGGAACTATACTAATACCTTATGCATGCATACTCTCTTACGTATTGTTCTTTATTACTTTCATTCCTATAATGCAACTAAACCATAAAGGCTATTCTAAAGGATTCTCTCATTTCTGATCCAACTCTTGGGGACTGTTGTTCTAATTCAAGGCTTTCGATCATCAAAATTGTGTCTTGGTCTCCTCCTCCAAAGGGTTTTATAAAATTGAACGTTGATGCAGCAGTGAATGGAGATTGGAGGAAAAGTGGTGTTGGGGGCATTCTAAGAGTTGAGGATGGCTCGGTGATGGGTTCTTTCCAAGAGGCAGCTGGTGTTGATTGAGATTATGGCAATAAAGAAGGGCTTATCTTTCTTCACTCTGATTCATCAGAGGTTTAAAGAACGCTTAATTGTTGAATCAGACAGCAATTAGCAGTGGAGTGGGTCAAAAATTATGATTGTTGTCCTCTTGTCTACAGAGCCTTTGTGAAAGACATTGTTATTTTGTTAAGAGATCTTAATGGTATTATTAGATGGGTTCCTAGATCAGCCAATGTTGAGGCTGATAGATTAGCTAAAGCTGGTATTGGCTAGTTACACAGCTTTCTTTTAGGCTTTAGTTAGGATTTGGGTTGATTATTGTAAAGGGTGTGTTTTGTTTTTAAACATTATGTATCATTCGGTTTTTAATGAATTAAGGCACTCTTTTCCTTCTTCCGCTGATTAAGGAGCAATTTCTGCTCCATTAATCATTAAGGGGGTTTTAACGAGGCCTACCTTCTTATCAAAAAAATAAAGGCTGAACATTGACAAGGGCCCTACCTACTGTTACCAAATTTAATGGTGTCTTTCTCAAAAAGTTCATAATAACGTTGGGGTTCGATTGGATTGTCCTGCAAACGCAAAAAGAAATTTTAGATGAAATTATAGAAATCAAATCAAGTTTCTATGCAATTCATAAAGATTTTGAGATAAATTGCTCACATTAATGAAAGTTTTGTTAGTGCTTCCAAGGTCCATTATATAAGGCCTACGAGGTAAAAGCAAAACAGAATAAGAGAAGAATTCATCACAATTAATCGTAGCTAACTGAAGTAAAATTCCAAATCAGCTTAACCATACTTTACTTCCTTGGTTATTGTACCATCAGGTTGCTCTTTCTCTACTTGCCTGGCCAAGAAAAAAACATTTAGTTAAATAATGTTCAGAACAAATGCCGAGAATAGAATTGCTAAGAAAAAATGTACCGGAATTGAATGACAGCATGTTGCTTGCTACAGGATGGATGGTCTGTGGGTACATCCGCTACCCGCCTTTCCCTCCCGAAAAGGTAACAGCTCTGGCGATGTATATAAAGGGGCTCTGCCAACAAGATGAATTAGAAAACCAAACAAAATCAGGGGGGATAAGTTCCATGCTTTCTTGAACGGTCGTCAACTTTTAACCTAAATGAATTGCCAACATAATGAGAACAAGCTCCAATCTCCCAGTTCCAATGAAATAGCAAGAATTAAGTATAAATCCTTGATCCCCTAACATGTAATAGTTTTTCTCGACAATTGCCATGATATGGATCTTGGAAAGGAAAAATTTAAAACAAAAAAGTCAAGGAAGAAAACATATGATATAGGAAGGATGCAATCTTGGACTAACCATTGAGTACTTCACCGGCTTTGAAAACATAGAGGCGCCATCTTATATTAGGTTTTCGAGCATCAGGTGGTTCATTGAATAGCAGAGTCACACCTCTAACTCTGTTGGTTTCTGCTGCAAGCTTTCCTGATAGCTCAAATGTAGGTTTTTGCTGCAAGTTACAACAATAAATAAAAGATAAATTTAAACACCAGGCATAAGATTTATCTAACTAGTTAAGAAACATGTGTCAATTTTTATTAGACAGGGTCCTTTTCATAATTTCGTAAAAGATGAGGGACCAATATATAAATATTTCAAAATATTGGATTTAATAACTTATTAAATATTTCAAAATATTGGATTTAATAACTTATTACAAACTTACAAGGTTAAAAAAATAATATACATAAAGTTTCCACGTAAAATAATCCACTAAAATTACTTGAAATTCTAGGCAGTATGAATACAATAGAACCACAGGCCACAGGGTATCTAACTAGTTAAGAAATAATTTGTCACACAATTATAGAACAGGGCAGCCAAGTAATTTGTTACCTTTTGTTTTGCTTCCAAGACTTCCTCAGCTTCCTTCATCTTAGCGACAGAATCATCTTCATCATCCCTGCTTAGGAACACAAGGAAATCTATTGTTAGACTATTAAGAACTTACAAGAATGAAACAAAAACCATATTACTCTGGCTTATGTGTGTGCCCGATACAGATATGAATATGCTTCCTAAATGGCTATGTTCAATTCTTTCCAAGTTTTCCCACATGCATGGGTTCTGGACAAGGATACTTCAAGAAAAATGGAAGAGTAGGCATAACAAGCGTAACCATAATAATAAACTATAAACCTAAAATAGCAAGTAGATTCAACAACATATTTTCCCCCAAAACACATAGAAGGAAGATAGTAAATCACGTGACAACCATCATCATATGAAAAGCAAAGGAACTAATAGACCATAAAAATATTAAAAAAAGCTCAGGGAAAAGTGCACATTAATTAATTTATTTTTTAAAGAAAAAAGCCCTCAAATAATAACATTAACTTTTAGATTTGGTAATTCTTTGACATCAACGATTCCCCCTCCCTTTACAAAAAAGAATTATAATAATAATAAGCCAAGACACTGCTTCAAACAAATTCCATAAATCAAACTTGTAAATAACATAATTTCTATATGTTAAGAAATATCCTTGGTGCAGATTAAAAGAAGAGGCTTAAACTTAAGGAGGCAGCGTACCGATTTTCAGCACCTCTTGAGCTAGTCACCTAAAATGAAAAGTTTTTGACAATAAACCATTAGACAACAATTCAAGATGAAGAAAAACAGGAAACATATTATAACTGAAAAATGCATATCCTCATATATGTTTATTGTGTTTGTTAGCATGACAATGTGAAAATGCAGCTCCAAATAATGAAATATAGAAACTGTAAACAGAAATAAGTTAAACGAGAAAGAAATAAAGTGAATATAAGGGGACACCTCATCCGGAGCTCTTGAATTTGATGCAAGTGAGTGAGATCTATGCCTGCTTCTGTGGTGGTCATCGGATGGAGAAACAGACCGCTCATGTCTTCCTCTGCTAGACTTGCTATCCATATCATCTCTTCCCAACCGTCTATCCTTTCTGTCACTCACCATTTCTTTCTCCAAACCCCTTTCCCTCTCAGATGTCCTTTCCTTCCCTGAAGTTTTATCCTTACAGGTACTCTTCTCACTACCCCTGCTATGATTTCTCTCATGCTCCCTCTCCTTCACTTTCTCAACCTCATTTTCATCCTGTGCTCTCCTCAGCCTCTTTGTCCTGGGAGAAGGAGACCGTGAACTTGGATGTTTTGGAGACTTAGTAAGGCCAGAACGTTTCTCCCTTTCCAGAGAATGATCCCTGTGAGACCTCCTGTGTCGAGGAGACTTTTCTCTTGTAGGGGAGCTTCCTTTATGCGAACTCTTGGGTCGTCCAGGTGATCTTTCTCTGTAAGATGGACTCCTCCTATGAGGAGACCCTCGCCTCCTAACTGGAGACTCGGAATGGTTGGACGAATTACGTCCCATTCTCTTGCCAGTAAAAGTCGGCCAACACTTTCAGTCTGAAATATGTAAAATAGATTCAGCAATTGAAAATAAATTATAACCATTGATGCTATATAAGATTTAGTGGTGGGCTGGGGACCTTTATACGGTTTCAATGACCTTTTCCTCGACCAAGTCAACAATTGTAAAAACTTCGGTTATATTTCATTGGGGAGCCTAATGTTAAAAGAACTCGAGAAACCATAGTTTAGTTTAGAGCTAAGATTAAAGAGCAGCATTACCTAAGAAGTACAGAACAATTCGAACACAGTTTCAATCATTGCAATACAACATAGCATAATTAAATTTCTTCAACAAAATTACACAATAAACCTAAGACAACAATTTAAGCGTCGGCGAACCTCGATAAGTATGCACAAATATGGTTCTAAAGACTAAAATTAATAAAGTAAAACTCGGTTACAGAGCATGGCAAATTAATAGAAGTTTACAGAACTGCCTAAGTTAGAACACTGAAGCACCATCAATCATCATATACGAAATGCACAAAAATAGGCAAAACAAAGAATACCCAGAACGGGAAACATCAAAACATTTATAAAAACAAAAATTATTCAAAAATAATAGCAATGAGAACATATAATACAACCAAAATGGAAAAAAGAAAAGAAAATTTGCTTCGACCCTTGGCTTCATGAAAGAAAGAGAAAAAAGGGTAAAGATTAAGTCTTTAAAGGAAAAGAAAAGGCAATAACTTGCTCACCAGGGAAAATGAAACTGTTTGATGTCAAATCGTAGTAAGGTTTCAAAAACAGAAGAAGAACAAGCGGAGGAGAAATGCAGATTCTAATTTGATAAGGGTTTAGGAGCGATAATAGAAAGAAATAAAGAGATACAGAGAGAGGAAAGAAAGGGAAAGCCCATTGAGAGATGAAGGATAAATATCCAATATAAAGCCCAATATTTAACTTCAAATTGCACAAAGCTAAACCTTAAAAATCTGAAATTTAACAGAGCTCATAACTTAATCCAATAAATAATATTTCCAAGTTCCAACCCTAACTGTGTAGTGAATTTTTTTTTTATAGAAAGTGGCTAAATTTATTAAAATTGAAAAATTATCTAAATTACAACGAAGGTTAATAATCATCATCGTAAGCTAAACACATAATAGAGATGTTTTCTTAAACACGAGAAAATTACAATAAAATTACATTTTTTATTTTATTTTGGTCATCCATCGTTAAAAAAATAATGATAATACTGACATGCTACCATAAGATAATATCGTATCATCATTGAAAAAATTTTAAATTATCATTTAAGCAGTTCTATTTATTTTTTAATAATAGATAACTAAAATAGAATCAAAACATGCTTTTAAATATAATTTTAAAAAATAGAGGCCACCAAAAAGAAATTACAAAAATAGATGAGTGATTAAATATGTAATATACTCTAAAAATAATAGAAGAAGTTTATTCTTAAAAACATTTTCCCATTTCGTTATAACAAATAAGCCAACCAAAAACCAATTTCCAAGTAGGCAAATTTGCTAAGAGGGTAATATGCCACGTCATCATCTATCAAATCTTTCCGACTGTTTTATATTAACCGGGCCCACTACGTTTTCTTTAGATTCTTGTCCCGACTTCCCCAAGCGTAAAGAGTCCACCCAAATAAATCCCTACAATTCAAATTCTCTCGATTATGGCCGCCGCCGCCTCTAGCACCGTCGCTCTTCGCCTACGCAATCCCCTTTCCTCTTCATGTTCCGTTTCTTCTTCCTCAAAATTTCCTTTCAATTTCAACAAAGTTGAGCCTCTGACATCGCCTGTGAATTTTTTCCCCATTTCTTGTACGTTGACTAGAGAACCGGTGCCAGCTGCTCCTGTTTCCGTGGATTCGGATCCGAAAGGATGGGAACGACCCGACTCGTTCGGTCGGTTTGGGCAATTTGGTGGGAAATACGTTCCCGAGACCCTAATGTCTGCCCTTTCTGAGCTGGAAACGGCTTTTCATTCACTCTCTAAAGACGACAAATTTCAGGTTATTTTCGTAACGACTCCACCATATATTTATGCACATTTCTATTCGTATGTAATTATGAATACTTATTTGGAATAGCCGCGTACAGCCTTTGTCTGTGTTTGTTGATTGGAATTTTTTAAAAATTGTATTTTTTCCCAATGAATCTGTTATGAACAAAATGATGGAAATTGATTTTTTTACTTAGATTAAAAGAAGGGAATTTATTGAATTTTCTTTTATCGTTTATTACATTTCTAGTTGTTTTTTTGCGTTTTTATTTTAGTTTTTTATTGTAATTTTTTATATCGAATTTCATTTTCATGAGAAAAAAAGACTAACTGGTCGTTTTTGTTCTAAAGTTCTTTTTTGTTTTGAAGAATTACTTTCGCTTTTTTTTGAATGATTAAGAATTATAATCATTATTTTTGAATTGACATTACTTTTTCACTTTATTGGGTTTAAGGAAGTTATAACGTTCTTTCGTAATTTTTTTTTTGAAAACAATACTATGAAGTTTTTTGTCAATAATAGGGAGAAAAGTGTTAAAGAGCTTCTAAAGAGTTTGAACTTTTAAATAATGAAATAACCCTTTGAAAGAATGATTATTTTTAGTACTGGAAGTGGTGATTTCGAGGAATAATTTTTCTTAATTACAGGAAGAACTAGCTGGGGTTTTGAGAGACTATGTTGGCAGGGAAACTCCACTTTATTTTGCGGAGCGGTTATCCGAACATTACAAGCATCCTAATGGTGAAGGGCCGGATATCTACCTAAAGAGGGAGGATCTTAACCATACTGGTGCTCATAAGATCAATAATGCTGTTGCGCAGGCATTGCTTGCTAAACGTTTGAGCAAGAAACGAATTATTGCTGAAACTGGAGCTGGTCAGCATGGTGTGGCGACAGCTACTGTGTGTGCACGGTTTGGTTTGCAGTGCATTATTTACATGGGTGCTCAAGATATGGAAAGACAGGCGCTTAATGTTTTCAGAATGCGGCTTCTTGGTGCAGAGGTAAATGAGACACCATCTGTCATACGTTGTTAGATTATAGGTTCTGTATCACAATCTCTTTGGATTGACCAATTATTTGAAATTGTATTTTTTTATTGTATAGGTCAGAGCAGTTCATTCAGGTACTGCAACACTAAAAGATGCTACCTCGGAAGCTATCCGGGATTGGGTGACTAATGTGGAGACAACTCATTATATTTTGGGATCTGTTGCTGGTCCACATCCATATCCTATGATGGTGAGAGAGTTCCATGCTGTGATTGGTAAAGAAACAAGAAACAAGCGCTGGAAAAATGGGGAGGGAAACCAGATGTATTGGTTGCATGTGTTGGTGGAGGTTCAAATGCTATGGGACTTTTCCATGATTTTGTTGATGACAAGGATGTTAGGTTGATTGGCGTAGAGGCTGCTGGTTTTGGTTTGGATAGTGGCAAGCATGCTGCTACTTTGACAAAGGGAGAAGTGGGAGTTTTGCATGGAGCTATGAGCTACTTATTGCAGGATGAAGATGGACAAATAGTTGAACCTCATTCCATTAGCGCAGGGTAAGGGTTTTTTTGATAATGAATTTGTTCATTTTTATGTGGTTTGCTTTATTTTACTTTGAATGATTTGGAAAGTTTTTGTTGTGGCTATACAGTTTGGATTATCCCGGAGTTGGACCTGAGCACAGTTTTCTGAAAGATGTAGGGCGAGCTGAGTACCACAGTGTGACAGATGAAGAAGCATTGGAAGGTACGAAACTACATTCCAGTTGTTTCTGATCCTTCATCCTGTCGTATCTGATTGTGACTACTTGCTGCTGTTTGGTCTTCTAAAAGAAATGATTATTTGTAGATGCACAACATTCCCTTTGATTTTTTTAACAACATTCCAGTTGTTTTCGGTCCTTCATCCTTCAGTGTTTGTTTCCCTAATTTCACCTTGGTTTTTAATCATCCAATGCACTAGGGTTCTCCACCTCTCTTTATGGTTTATTTTCTGTGCTCCATCATGGGCTGTCAATTTATCACTTTTTCCAAAATTAGTTTGACTGATAACCTTACACATAAAATGTTCTTGAAGGAGGAACTGTTTCTGTTTCTCTTGCATCTCTCCCTCATTTTATACGGATATATGCTCACGTAAGACATCGTGTATATAACCTGTTGTCTTTTGAGTAATGAATCGTCTAAATTTGCACATCTAAACATTTGCAACACCAGTTTTTGTGGAGATGGTGGAGATCGTCCACTTCTGTGGTTCGTTTGACCTATGTGTGCCCGAATATCTTTACAAAAACCTATGAATGCAATTGATCAGCATCCTTACACTCTTGTGCATTTATCAAATAGCATGAGACACATCTCATGAAATATGCATGCAGCTTTCAAGAGATTGTCCCGACTGGAGGGCATAATCCCAGCTTTGGAGACATCTCATGCACTGGCCTATTTGGAGAACTTGTGCCCGACTCTACCAAATGGTACCAAAGTCGTGGTTAACTGCAGCGGCAGAGGCGATAAAGATGTTCAAACGGCGATCAAGTATTTGCAGGTGTAATTACTGTGTTTTTTTTGTCCGCCTTTAAGTCTGTTCATCCCATGAAATAAATGGATGTCCCATCTTTTACAGCCATGCTTTCAGAGTCTCCTTTTTCAGTGTTCCTTTATATGTATTACTTTGTGAGACCGTTGTATGAGCACAAAGTTTAGATAAAATATGGAGTATACAATCATCCATCATCATGTTTCTTTACGTACTTTTACATAAATTCGAAGTAAAACAGTTGAGAATTATTATTTGGTAACCGAATACGAATTCAATATATTTATATATGTTATATTTCTTCCGGATTTCCTTTGTAAACCACACCTTTATCATTAATTCTTCGTTTATTGAGATATTTGGAGTTCACGGATAGATCGAAGGGGCAGTGGAGGGCAATCGTCTCTAAGAAAATTTCAAATTAACATATATTTTGGATATTTTCTTTTATATTTTCAATTGATAATTTGTTTTCGCTCTTGAAATTTTGAAAGTTCGTCCCTCTTAAAATTTTAAAAAGCTTGTCCTCTTAACAAAAGGCACCATCCATATTGGAGTTCCTAAATTCGAATTCATCTTTCAAACAATTGCAATCTTTTGATATTATCGCTTGCAGACTCACATGATCTTTCATAATCAAATCTATTGTCAAACAATTATACTTAATTATCTTGTCAGTTTACAAATAACTATTATCACCCTAGGCTTTACACTTATACAAAAAAATCTATATGTAAATCATCATACAATATTAAAAAAAAATTGGACTCTCTTTCCTTCAATTTATTTCATTATTATCTTCTTCTTCGAGATCATACTCTCTATTTCCTATACAAAATTATCATTTATGACTCTTCATCAAAATAAAAAAAAAAGGAATTGTTCCTATTACTCTGATCAACAATACGGAAAAATCTCACGTGCGGCAGTCTTAGTATGCAGATAAGAAAAGGTGTTACCGGATTTGTTATTATTTTTTTAACAAAACCGATAAAAAATTATCGAAAACATTATTATTTCTACCGATTTTGTTATTATTAGGCGCTTTACTGGTTTTGTTAATATATCCGGTAAAGCATTACGTTTTTGTTATTATTAAACATTTTATCGAAAATGTTAAAAATATTAATATTTTAGGTAATTTTTTACCGATTTTATTAAAATAATAATAACAAAACCGATAATGCATTTCTTTAACCGTATATTAAGATTACCGCATATAGAACTTCCCAACAATACACGTATGGAAAAGAATAAAAGAAGTGTCGGAGGGACCTACCCAGCAAGGGTTTGGTCACAATCACAATCTAGATTTCTTTGAA